AGTGAGTTCTTCACGGCGCAAAGAAAACTGCGCAAGAAAGGGGTTTCAATCACTACGAGTACTCCATACACACCGGCATCAAACGGGCTTGTGGAAAGGACGCAAGGTGTTCTAATGTCGTTTGCTCGAACATCTTTGGCACAGTCAGGGCTTCCGTTGCAGTACTGGCCATATGCTGTAGACCACGCAGTGTCTTGTAAGAATGCTGTCAAGCACTCTACAACCGAACAAGTCCCACACGAGTTGCTTTTTGGGGAGTATCCCTCTTACGTGTATCACCTTCGTCCATTCGGGTGCAAGGCTCTCTTTGCTCCAGTGCAGAAGAAAAGGGAAAAGTTTGCAACACGCCTGGTTGACGGAATTTGTTTAGGGCATCATGGCGGGGGAATTTATAGAATTCTCTCACAAAGCGGCACGTACCTCACGAAGCATGTACGATTCTCGGAGAACGAGTTTCCGGGACTGTCCTTGTTCGCCACACAGAAGTTGCAGAAGACTAACCACCGGGATGTTCACAGTGGTGAATATGACACGGATCCGGAAGACGACGTTAACCACGCCGAAAATGAAGTACAGGTGTCAGTTGAATCTGCAATTGATGCAGTCACTTACCATCCGCCCGTATCAAGCACATCAGGAGAAGATGATGAACCAGACACAGATGATTATCCTGCAGCGCATTCACACGACTATAACCTTCGCCCCAGAGCCAGTATAGCAATTCCGGAATGCATCAGCACCCCAGACGACCCTACTATCAAAGAGGCTCTTCAGTCCGCGGAGGACAAGTACTGGAGGAAGGCAGTTGCAGAAGAGTTTGGAAATCTTCTGGACGCCGGTACATGGAAGGAGGTTCGAAAATTTACCCATGCTGTACGACCGTTACCGTCTGTATTCATCCTTAAGCTGAAACGGAATGAAGATGGAAAGCCCTCTAGATTTAAAGCTCGTCTTGTTGCGCGCGGAAATCTGCAACGAGCCGCAGTGGAGTCTTATGCTGAGACGTACGCTCCGGTGGCATGCTTTGAGCTCGTGCGTCTTCTGCTCACGCTTTCCAAGGGCCTAAGATGGAGCCGCCGACAGTTAGATGTGACTGGTGCATTTCTATACGCCACACTTCCTGAATCTATGTCAATATATTTGAAGCTGCCACTTATTCCAGGCGTCGAGCACGCTGACGGGCGCATTGTCAAGCTTGTCAAGTCTTTGTATGGTCTCAAACATGCTCCGAAGCTGTGGTATGAATATCTCGCTACAGCCTTGAAGAAGCTTGGGTTTGAGCAATGCCTGTCTTGCGATTGTCTCTTCACTCTTCGCCGCGGCCAGCAAATGGTCATTGTCCTCGCATATGTCGATGACTTGGCACTATTTGGAACAGATGAACTCATCGAGGATGTCGTCGCACAGTTGCATCTTTCATTTAAGTTGAAAGATTTGGGAGAACTATCATACTTTCTAGGGGTCCGCATCACTGACACGAAAAATGGAATCCTACTTTCGCAACTCTCCTTCATCGAGAAAATTATCGAAAAAGCCAAAATGTCAGATGCAAAGCCAACTAAGACACCGCTTCCAATGGGACACGCGCTCTACAACGAAAGGAAAATTAGAACGCAGTCTGAAGAAGACGAAATGCAGAACGTCCCGTACAGAGAGATTCTAGGTTCACTCTTGTTTCTAGCGACAAGAACGCGGCCTGACATTATTGCATCAGTCTCTATGCTTGCGAAGTTCGCCGATTCACCCTGCACGGAACATTGGAAAGCCATGAAACACGTGGTGTGTTATCTCATCAGCACGAAGGATCACGGTTTGCGTCTCAATGCTTCAGCATCTATCACGCTTAAAGGCTGGTCTGACGCAGACTGGGCCCGTGACCTAGACCGACGTCGCTCAAGGTCAGGCTTTGTTGTGACTGTGAACGACGCTCCGATCATATGGTCATCAAAACTGCAGGGAAGCGTGGCGCTCTCAACATGCGAAGCAGAGTTCATCGCCCTTGCTCAGTGTGCGAAGGAAGTTGTGTGGATACGGGAATTACTTCAAGAAATTGGGGTTATGCAGCACGATGTGCCTCCGACAGTCATCTTTCAGGACAATCTAGGCACGATTGCGTGGACTGGGGATGTGCAAGGACTCCGAAACGTGAAGCACATCGGAATTAAGTACAACTACCTAAAGGAACTAGTACAGAGCTCAAAAATGCAGGTACTATACACGCCCTCGTCTGAAAACCGCGCAGACTCGTTGACAAAAGCATTGGTTGGCTCTACATTTCATCAACATCGCGCGTGGTTACAAGTTGAAGCAAGCAATCCTCGAGGGGTCATGTCGCAGAAGGATCTCCAGCAATAGTACAAGGCTCACTTCTTCAACTCTATTGACAGCAAAGTTCTAGACCTCAACTCCTCTACTCCGGTTCTATGAAAGAACCACGTAACCAGTTAGCAGTCTACTGTGGTGACACGCATAGGAAATAACTTTCAGTATATTCGGACCCGTAGTCAATGGCCCGTATATATTATGCTACAGTACTGATCGCCTCAATTCAGCGGAATTGAGGCCGACTACCTCACATGAACTAGAACGCGATGCCACCGCAACTGCACATGAAGTGCAATATAAAACGGTCTTCGTGCGGAGACGCTAGCAAAAATAAAGACAACGAACAAAGTTTGAAAACGGTCCTATACACATGTACAACAGGCACGTGCTACAGTAGTTTGTCCTGGTTGATGACATAACGACGGCCAACGATGAATGGAACAAACGGCAAGGCCGAGTTTGCACAAATCTTCAGTGAATGCCCTCTGGAATAAGTTTACAGCTCAGGACATCTAGACTGTAAGGACTTTTATACAACAGTGGGCGACTCCGAAAAACATAAATTGTGTACACACAAATTTCCTTGTGTATGTGTGTCGTATTTTGTGCCTTGGCACGGAAATGCATGTGAACAAAAATTTGTGTAAGACACATTTAATGCCAATTCACCCTCAGTGAGGTGTCAGCACGCCGGCGGACGGATTGCGGTACCCCCTTCACGCCCTATCCTATGATACCCAAATGAGAAATCTCCTCCTTGTTTTGCTGTTGCAACGCGCAAAAAGGCAACGCACCATCACTTTTCGTCACCGCCTCAACACGGAAGGGCGAAGACGACGAGACAGGCGGATAACAAGGAGTGCATTGCAACACCCCTCTACATCTCCATTTGCCGTTTTGTTCGGTTCAGGATGTGACCAATCCCTTATCACATTTTGCGGGTTCGATCACGCTTCTTTTCGCTACCTCCTCCCCCTGTTTGAACCCCTTTATCTTCGCTTCACACCTTACAGCTCTGACGGATTTATTCGCGTCATCCCGCGACGGCGCACGCGAAGGGGAAGACCTCGGTCGCTATCGGCTGTCCACTGCTTAGCTCTGACACTTTGTTGGTACAGGACAAGGGGTTCTAGTATGGTCTTGTCAATGCTATTAGGCATAACTGCTTCTGTTTGCTCTATATTTTTACGATTCGGTCGCCGCTTGTTGAGGCGCGTCCTCAACTCTGATCATAAAGCTCGCATTAAAATGCCCACAGCGCAAGAGATTAGTGATTACAAAGAAGCCATTTCCGCAAAGTACTCTCTTCTTCAAGATGTGTATGCCATGGCGGATGGACTGAAGCTTTATCTACAAGAGAGCGGGAACGGTGTAATTCAGAACATGTTTTACAATGGGTGGCAACATGATCACTACGTCGGAAACGTACTTGTTTTTGTGCCTTCCGGCGTAGTGATCGCGGCAGCGTACAATGCTCCCGGGTGTCTCCATGACTCGGTTATTGCCGAATGGGGCAATGTATATCGAAAACTTGAGGAAAAATTTGAAAATCATGGTGCGACGTGCGTTGTAGATTCTGCGTTTAGTAAGGGAGACTACCCTTTTCTTATCAAATCTGCGCAAGATATGCCAATGAGCAGTGACCGAAATGTTCATCAAAAGGCGCAGCAAGCGACATCCGTCAGGCAAGCATCGGAGTGGGGAATGAGAGCCTTTCAAGGCTCTTTTCCGAGATTGAAAGATCGTTTTTGCTATGAGGAGCGAGGCGAGAGGAAGATCATACTCCATCTCGCCATTTTGCTCTTCAATTTGAGAACCCGGTTGGTTGGCATCAATCAGATACTCAATACCTACATGCCATATCTGGGCGTCGATGCGAACCATTTGCTGTTTCGAAACGTATGAGAGGCCACCACTCGCCTCTACACATTTCGCGAGCACTGAGCGGCACGCGAGCAGCGCGACTGGCTTGGCAGAGAGGTGGCCGGCGCGTTCGATGGTGGCCTGCACAGGGGAGTGACGGGCCAAGTGAGCGGGGTAGCGGTGGGTCACTTGGGGGTAGACATGCAGCGGGCCGGAGACAGGGAGCGGGGGTTTGATGTGGGAAGTATGCGGGGGCGTGCGCACAAGGACCCACAGGCCCTTGTACAGGGGCGGGGTGGTGTGCGGGGGGCGGTGTGTGCGGGAGAGGTGAGCTGTCAGGACGGCTCGCCCAGCATCGGGAGCGGGCGGAGGCTCGCGGTGGGGCGCGTGGGGCCGTATGTGACCAAGACGTGGGCAAGGGCGGGGGACAAAGCTGGGAGGGTAGCGGTCGGGGTGGACAGCGTGAGCGTGAAGAGGACGAAGCGGGTGGCGCCGATATTGCTCTCGGTCAGAGGGGTGGAAAGGTAGGTCGCCGCGTGAAGGGTTTGAGCGAGAGTAGAGAAATGGACATGTCAGGGCCATCCCCCGCGACACCACTCGATGTTTGCAGCAAAGGATAATGCCAAAGCTTGGGATGTTGATAGCAACCGGTGCTTCCATTTTAATTTCCAGGTTTTTTTTGCCTTCTCATTGTGTTCTTAGCATCTCCAGGTATCTCACCTTCTCACCTGCCTGTTAAAGGCAAGTCACTGTGTGATGTGAATATATATACACAGTAAAAACAGGAAGACAGACCAAACTCTATCAAGCGTTTAAGAAAACGACGAACAACTGGCGCATCGCCTTGGACTCGTGCCGCTGAAGATCGACCCGCGGCCTTTTGAGTATTGGGAAAAGGGTCTACCGGTGACAGTGGCGAATACTGTGAAGTTAAGCTGGCGGACAAAGTGTGAGCTTAACCCGTCTGCGCCGAGAGATGGTGAGGCCCCCCCTAACGTCTTGTACAAAAATTCCAGCGTGTTAAGCGGTTCAATTGAACATGTCCCGTTCGGAGGTCATGAACAAAGTAAGTTCATCGGCAATGAAGTACCAAGGCCTGTTCACGAGAATATTCTGCTATGTAAATTACAGCCTGGACAGGAAATCCATGTTGAAATGGATGTCACGAAAAACATCGGCAGGGAACACACGAAGTGGTCCCCTGTTGAGACAGCTGGTTACAGGATGCTTCCAGAAGTGAATTTGAAAACTCGCGTTGTTGGTGCAACTGCGAGAAGACTTGTGAACGTATGTCCGGCGAAGGTGTTTGATATTGATGACGACGTTGCGGTTGTGGCACGACCACGGGATTACCGCCTTGCCCCGTGTGAGCTGCTGCGTCCGACCCTATTTCCCTGTTCTCCGCTTTGCCGGGCCGATCCACCTGCGTTCCGATCTGGGCAAACAGCGCCGCTTCCATCGCCGCCTTGTTCTTGGCCTGTTTTCTTAGCCGCTTCTCTTCGCGCCTTTTCCGTCTCTCTTCCTTGGTCTCCTTGCGTTTCTGACTGGACTGGCTCGGAGTTTGTGCCGCCACATCTGTCTGAGACACTACATCCGCCTGAGTCAGCACGCCGACCTGACTTGCCTCCGCTTGACTCGCCTCCGCCTGGCTCGCCTGACTCGCCTCCGCCTGGCTCGCCTCTGCATGACTCGCCTCTGCTTGACTCGCCTCCGCTTGACTCGCCTCCGCTTGACTCGCCTCTGCTTGACTCGCCTCCGCGCTCGCCACCGCCGCCCCGTTCGCTTCGTCGTGCCTCAGCGCGACCTGCACTTGCTCGAACTTGACGCTCCGCGCCTCGACCTTGGGCGAAACTGTCTTACTGCGGTGCCGCTGGCTCGAGGTGTGCTTTTGTTTCTTCTTCCTGCCCGTTTTCGGGGATGGAGTGGAGACCGGCGGCAGGGCGGTTCCAAACGGGCTTTGCGAGAGTGCGTCGCCAAAGACGTTGGAGCTGAAGGGGTCGTCCTCTAAGATGGCGGAAGCTCTCGCGCGGGAGCCGGAAGAGCGTCTGCTAGCGGCGAAGACATCGACAGTCTTCGCGGGAGGTGTCTCGCCACTGGGCAGCAGGTCAGCGTTGGCGCTCGTAGGTTGGTTGTGGATGTCAAGCAAATCGTCGGCGGGAATGGAAAGTTGGGCATCTGGGTGCTGCACGCCGAGCGGCTCGTCGGGACGATGTGTTTCGCGGCGAATGTCGTCGTTGAGCGAAGCGTGAATCTGGAAAAACCCGGTGTGGGAAGGCTTGATGCCCTCTACTACAAAACGAATGTGGCGCCCTAGAGTGACGTGTTGATTAAATGGTGATGTCTCGTTTACACAGCGCCATCTCCTTACGAGGCCGTCCTCCCCAAAGTGATAGTCATATGCGTAAACGTGGCGCAGTGGTTCAAGAGGAAGCACGGCGTGAAACGCGTGCAAGACGGAAAGACCGACGTGATCAGGGCCTACGTGCTTGACGACGCCGACGAAGACGGTGCCGCGCGGAGGGGAGAAAACGAGCAGGCGCGCAGTGGCGACGATATGGGCATAAGGGGAGGCGCCGACGATGGAGGACGGTGGTGCGTGCTCGAGGACTCTCCGCGATGGTTCGGTTGCGTGGGAAGGGGCGGCCAGTTGCTTGTAAGTTGGGGCATGTTAGCGGCATGTTAGCAGCGAGAATGTTGTTGGCAGAGGAGGTTTGGGGGCGGCGCTCGGCCGTCCACACGTAGAGGGCTCCCAATTCATGTGGCAAGCATTGAAAATGGAGCAATGCTTGCCACATGACCTGGAGGGGGGGTGATGTTGCTTGATGTGGTCACAGCATGGGTTTTGGGGGGAGGTTGCGGGGAAGTGGGGGCGAAGGTGGGCAATGGAGCGGGGGATGAGCAAGTTGCACAAAAAGTGCGTGCCATGACCGAGGTGCTGGAGCGATCGTCCCACGAGGTGGCTCTCAGCCACGTGACACTGTATTCATTCAGCAAGGCGGATATTTTACGGGTCTCCTGGTTGCTGCGATTTTGTCAAGTGGCAAGCATTACAGATGAAGCAATACTTGCCACATGCCTTGGAATGGGGGATATGCTGCTTGATGTGGTCACAGCATGGGTTTTGAGAGGAGGTTGCCGGGAAGTGCGGGCGAAGGTGGGTAATGGGGCGAGGGATGAGCAAGTGGTGCAAATGGTGCGTACGATGATGGAGGAGCTGGAGTGGATGTCGCAAGAGGTGGTCGTCAGCCACATGACAATGTGCCCACTCAGCAAGGTGGATATCTTACGGGTCTCCTGATGGCTGCGATTTTGCCAGGTACATCATCAAGGCCTGCATAATCGCATCGCGATTTTTTCTGGACTCCTCCCTCTGTTTTTCAGCTTCATCTCGTTCGTCTTGTCTCCTTTTTCGTTCCTCCTCCCGTTCATAGGCTCTACTTCTTGCTTCTTCATCCCGCCTCTCTCGAGCCTCCTGCCGCTCCCGTTCTGCCCTTTCCCGCTCAGTAATCCGGAATTCGCGTTCCTCTATAAGGGAAGCTTGCATAATTGCCACCAAATCGTCATCTTGGGTGTGACTACCGTGGCGTGATCGTTTATGCACAATTGGAAAGGCAGGTGATATTGTAGATGGTGACGAAGACCTTACAGGAATACCGCCTTCAGCATCATCACCTTCGTCAGCATCTCTTGGACTGTTTGATTGGTTATTTTCTTCTACCCTCATATCTTCCGCAGATCCATTTCCATCCAAATCACTGCAGTCTCCATCTCCTAAATCTACCCTTGACGTCATATCTTGCCTAAGCTTCTTTGCACGCAGTACTGAAGCAGGGATTCTCGGGTCTCCTGTTGGGGCTTTTTTCCTGTAAAGAATCGCAAACTTGCGGCGCAGCGAGTCTGTAGTCCGATTCTTGTCTGGGTATCGTGTCTTGTGAATGCGGGTGACTGCATCCCACTCATCCCCTCCCACTGGCAAGTGTTCCTCTAGAATGTTTAAAAAGCTTTCCAGTTCTTGTTCTGTGAATGAAGCCCCACGCCCAGCACCATTTGATGCCCTTTTTCTTGCGGCATGAGTACGTTTCTGAACACCTCTAAGAACGCTTAAACGGCGCCGAGAAGCCTCCAGCGAGTAGCAAGCAGGTGAAGGGGGGGGATCTTGACAAGAAGAAAGCGGTGGACTGCGCGCGGGTAGAGAGACCGGCTGGATACTTTCATCGTCTGTCTCACGTGTTGACGGAGATGCATGGCCGTAGCCGTAAACATTACGGCCTTGGCGCACGGTAGGAGGGGTTGTTGCTGGGACGAAGGAGCCGCCGGCTTGGGGACAAATATCGGGTGCCGGCTCCTCGTCGGAGTCGGCAACATGAGCCATGTAGACGTTGGGCTGCGGGGTTGGACAGCGGCTGATACGACGGAGGGAAAGTGTGGAGGGAGGCCAGATCGAAATAGGAATGAGGTTGCCGAGGGGTGGGATGGGTTGATCGGACAGATCGCAGAGAAATATTTGAGCACATGGTATGATATAGGGTGGTATAGGTGGGTGCGGATGTGCGTTTGTGTCTGTGCACGAACAATTACATCGGGAGGGGAACGAAGAGCAAATCGGCGGTTTGTGTATGCACAAACACCTCCGACTCAATCAAAATCGGCGGATTTGCGCATACACAAAATGTGTTTTTATGTTTTTCGGAGTCGCCCAGTGTTCGCTGATAGATTTCTGATGACCAAACTTGTAGAGGCTTACCGTTGGTTTTAGATGATACGTAATTTTTATGGGGCACGGCCTGGTATGGTCATGTGTGTGCCTGTGTGCATGCTTTAACCGGAGACGAGGAGATGCAAACATACTGGTGCCTCAAGAGTCGAAGGGCATTCACGGTGGTGGGGCGAGAGGAGTGACAGTGGGCGTACGGATTCTCAAAAAGGTAGCACAATTTGTGGGCGCATTATTATACAGGGCATCCCGGGACATTCAAATATGAGTGCTGTGCAAACGCCATAGCCAAAAACGAGGAGGTGTGGGAAGTGGCTGTTACGATTGTTTAGCAGCGCGGGGCTCATGCTGAGCCGCCCTTTACATGACAAGAGCGTGAGTGTGGAGGAGGAGGCACAGGCCACCGTGATAGAGAGACGGGGGCATTGTCATGTTGAAGGCGGCGTAGAGGCGATATGCGGGGACTGGACTGTGGGTTGGTTGAGTGTGGCTTGGAGGGAAGGCCGGCCTCTTGACGACATCCAGCAAGGCGAGGCACCGGGATGCAACAGCGTACTGTCAAATGTACAGTATGGGCGGGGCGCAAGGTCCGCACCTGTCCGTGTTGGCGGGGGGGGGGGGGGGGGGGGGCGCTTGAGGAAGTTGCGACTGAAGGTACAGACTGTTGTTGGTCTTCAAAATAGACCAACAACAGTCCAAAAAACAGAATATTATTCTGTAAATGTAAGGTTGCTACGCGTGTGTTCAGCCGGTTCACTGCCATAAACATCAAATACAACCCTCTCTGCAATACATATGCCCCATGGGACGTGGTAGTGTGCTATACAGTATACTGTATACTACATCGAAGGGAATACAATTCAGAAATCATGAGACACATGTAAAGAATTTATGCTAGTGGGCCTACGGGCAAGGTCTGAAATGTCTTTCGCCTGCCTGCTGGTACATTTTCAAGGTACGGACTTGTACTGCACAGTATCCGTTGCGGACTTCATACAGTGTTTCTTCGTCTGATCTTGCGTTGTTGTAGTGATGCCCCACAGTAACTCAAAGACTGGTGACTTGCTCCGTCACTGCCATGTCCTCAAAATTCTCTATATACGCCTCATGAGTGTATGACTGTTGGCTGAAAGACACATGGCCCATCACTTGCTCATCTCAAGACTGCGTCATGCCTTTCTTTCCATTTGGAACTGCATCCTTTGGGACTTTATTCGTTAGAGGTGAATCGTGATTAAGCGTCCAGGGGGCTCTTCCAGGGGAGAACTCATGAGGTCTCCCGTCAATACTTATAGACTAAAAGTGGCCTTCGGGGAAACCCTTTGTAATTCGTCTTCCCTCACAGAACTCAATCAGCCTCCGCATCAAACTTGTTATATTTCGAAAAGCGGTTCATTCTCTTCGACTTTTTCCTACCTGCATGTGTCTTTCCTTTCAAGATGGACCATTACGAAATCAAGGAAGGCCATGATGATACCAAACTTGACTGGGCACCTGAACCTCGCAGAATAGTGGACTATCTGGTTGTCCTGCTGAATTTTCTGCTGTATATGGTCAAAACACGGAAACTCTCCAACTTTCGCTTTGCTAATATCACTCGAGATTGGGTCGCCAGCGTACAGCAATTTTCCAAGAAACAGTTTTGGAAAGTGTATGGTCGCGTTTCTGCACGATACAACTATCATCCCCAGCAACGATTCCACAATGCCATACGCAGATTTGATGCTAGTGAAGACCTCGCTGCACAAATGGCACAAACAGGGAACGCTGCGTTTTACTATAATGTTTGTGATCGTTCGGGTATCGCTAAAACCAACTATGCCGTTGACCTAACGAAAATAAGCGATCTCACCACCATCACAGCCTCAGCAGATTATCTCTTCCAGGAAGTGAGGGCCCGTAAGGGAGTTGAGTCAGCATGTGCCGCTCAAGGGTGTTTCATGAGAGGGTTCAGCCGACCCATCAAGGTGTTTGATCCCAGCGATTGGAACAGCTTCCGTACCGAGATTAGAGCTTACCAACGAGTCAATGATGACCTAATTGGAAAGAAGGAAGACGATGCGTTGTTGGTCGCGTTGTCTTATAAAGGAAAAGACGAAAACATTAACAGACGCATGAGGATCCTTAAACCAGACGGGTCTCCTGATGAAGAGTCAGGTGTACTGATGCAAGGAAAAGTGCAGAGGGACTCAGACTTCGTGGATGACTTCCGATGGAGTCAGGTCGTGAGATCTTGTATTGCTATGGCAAGAACACAAGGAAAGAGCCACGTCCGCATATGGATCGACCGGCTTGTAATGATGGATGTCGAAAAAGAAGAGATAAGTCGATTGTATGGCCTGTCGCCATGGGAGGAATTTGGACTTCTGCCATATGCACTTTTTCCTGTTATTCGTGTATTCAGCGGCAGGGAAGTGTATTATGGAACAGATTTCTGGAGAAAGTTGGAGACAGTTCTCGGAGTGGCTGGCAGAGGCCTTGTTGTAGACGATTACATGCTTCGAAAGTATGACAGAACAATTTTCTATAGCCCCTCTGTGTATGAAAGGCTTGCGGATGGGTTAAGTTGTATTGGGGGCAAGGGACTATATGTGAGGTCAACGACTCTTGCTTTGGCGACAGCCATTCTGACGGACGGAGTGAGCGTGCGAAAGTCGAATGAAGACATGAGAACAAAAGCTAGTGCCAGTGCCTGGAAAGCTTGGGCGCTGCGCACGATTGCTGAGGGGGCGTACAGCAAGGCCCATCCGTCGATGATGGCAGGACAAGAAGCATTCACGATAGGAATGGAAAGCTTTCAGACGATTGCGTTCTGGGAATCAATAGTATCTCGGAGCAAGGCGTTGGT